CTGACACCATCAATGAGGCTTGTTTTATACCACTGACATCAAGAGTGAGGCTTATTTGATCCCACTGACACCATCAATATGGCTTATTTTATACCACCGACATCAAGGATGAGGTTTATTTTATCCCACTAACATCAACAATTGGGTTTATTTTATCCCACTGACAAACGATGGGGGATTATTTTATCTCGCTAACACCATTAATGAGGCTTATTTGATCCCACTGACTCCATCAATGAGTTTTATTTATTCCCACTGGCATCAAGAACGAGGTTTAGTTTATTCCACTGGCATCAAGGATGATGCCTATTGTATCCCAGTGATGGGGATTATTTTATCCTTTCGACATCAACAATGGGGATTATTTTATCCCACTGGCACCAATGATGAGGCCTTTTTTTATCCCAATGACACCAACAATGTGGCTTATTTTATCCTTCTGATATCAACGATGGGGCTTATATTATCCCACTGACATCAACAATGGGGCTGATTTAACTAGTTGCTGCCCGGCCTATGGCCAGATAGTGGCCGGGCGAACACTTTGTCCCTCTGGGAGGACGCCATATGGCGTCCTTCCTGGAACGCACATTGCGCATGCCCACAGAGCCGCACTGTGGCAAGATCTGTCACCGGTCATGTACCTCAGACACGGCTGATCACAGATCTGTGTACCGGCCCCGTTGCCAGTACCATGTGACCTGCTGTGACCAATCACAGTAGGTCACATGACAGTTGTATACAATGGATGGTTTCCTTTCATGCCATCCATTGTATACAAGTGTGTCTAGCTGTGAATGGTCACAGTGATCACAAGAATAGGCTGGGCCAATCACAGCCCATCTGTGTCATGTGATTAGCCGTGGTCAATCACAGCTAATCACAAAAGCCCTGAGGAAGAGGCAAGTCCTCGAAACGCGTCAGCCTATTGGATGTCTACACTCCCTATTGCGGACAGTTACTCAGCGCGGTGTTGACCCAGCTGTTCTTTTATGCTGTGCCTTGACTTTGTCGTTTGTGAGTACAACACCTACTTTATTTTTTATTAAACATTTTTTATGGTAATGCACTAGGCCTGTGTGCCCTCTGTTTGTTCTTTCCCCATTCAGTATATTTGGATTCCCCCGGTCTATTGAGGGCAGCAAGGTGTGCATGTTCCAGGACATTCTTAATGTGGTAGTAGCCTGCATCGAGTCCATCCCCAAGTGCAGGAGCATTTGTGTTTGCTGGCTTATTTTATCCCACTGACATCAATTATGTGGTTTATTTTACCCCCTGTAAGGAAACATGTCTTATTGACTGGCATCCATTTTGTATAATGCCTCCATTTCTAGATGTGTGAACAGTTAGTTCCGTTTTTGTAACTCCTCTCTCGTTTTCTGAGAACAGTTTCTATTTCACTGTAAATGGAACCACCTTATATGGTATCCCTCAGCTATTTGCTGTTTCTGTTCTTCATGTAACTATATTGATAAGAATGGAATGTTTCATTGGTCATCCTGAGATTAAGTAACACCCACTGAGTTCCGTATAATAGTTCTTGTCATGCATTAAACTTTCAGAGATTTTGCCTGCATACTTTGGTGTCTGGAGCTTTATTTCTCCCAGGCCTGGTGGGAAAATAATGAGGACAGGGGGCCACAGACAAAGGCTGATTCCTGTCACCCCCTGACATAAATGATGGGCTAATTTTTATCCCAATGACACCAACAATAGGTATTCTTTTACTTTCACTAACAACGGGGCTTATTTTATCTCACTGACATCAATGATGGGGCTTAGTTTATCCCACTGACACTAACAAAGGTTATTCTTTTATTGAGTAGTCACACCTAATACTTGTTTCGCTGAGAAGTCACCAACTTTATTACCACATAACTTACAAATAGTACCAACTTTTGATTGGCTACAAAGGACGGAGGGGGGGGAAGTACATAACCCAGATTCAAATCCAGACAATTTTTTTAAAGTCAGAGATGGAGTATGGGAGTGTTGTTGCTTTCTTTTTGGAATATCTGTTAATCTCTGTAAAACCTGTAGTTGTGATTATGCACCTCATCTGGTGGAGAGGGGGCAATCTCCTCTCCCCATGGACATTTGAAGCAATATCCCAAGCTCCGTCTGTATCAGGACACAATGATAACTGTACTTTCTCTAAAAGTAAGCCCCTGACAAACCTGAGGATTTTAAACACAGTAAAGCATGATAAAAATGCATTGGCAGAGGTTACTTTCAGTGGAAGTCTTGTAAAATGATCTGTTTATCCTGATATATGGACAAGTTGAGATATATGCAAAATTTACAGGACATATTGAGATTTGCATAAAAGTTTAGCAGCCTGTACCTCTGAATCCACTTTTTGTTTTGTTGTTCAGTTTTTTTCAAAACCTGGTGTTGGTGTTTGTCAAATGCAGGTAAAAAGATGTACCCATATGTTGAACTCTGATACGTTCTAATCATTTCCCTTGAAAATGGCTTTAAAATCCTGACAAATATGTGTGTCCTATAGCATTAAAGCTTAAAAGAGAAGCAAGGCCACACTTTTTTTGCCATACTTCTCTTGTGGGTCACAAGAGTGCAGTTGCTTGTGTCTTCCTGTTACCCAAAATCAGCCGACTGTGGGCTAAAGCTTGCTATCGACTGACACCACAGAGCCACTCCAGGCTCTAGAAGGATCCAGGCTGTATGGATCTATCCTGATGCCTAATCAGCAGCTGACTCAGCCTCTCTCCACACCATTGAGAACCTGAGCCAGTTGCTCCCAACCAGTGGCGGATTAAAGTCTGTTGAGGCCCCTAGGCAGCTGAAACCTTGCAGGTCTCTAGAGGTTTTTCGTGCACTCGCTCTTTTGGGATAATATTGAACTAAGTAGCGTGCACATCTAGGTTGCTAGATCAGGGCTAGATCTAGACAGTCTGATGTGGGGGTGCAGTAAAAAATGTCAGAGGCGCAGATGATGGAAGATCAGCAGGGCAGTGTACAGGTGGTCATCAGGGAAAAAGACAGGGGCAGTGTGTAGTGGGACAGCAGGGCAGAGGATGGGATGGCAGCAGGCAAGTGTACAGGGGACAGTAGGGCAGAGGATAGGGGTCAGCTGCGCAGAGGACAGGAGTCAGGTGAGATGACAGGAATCAGCAGGGCAGAGGATGGGTGGTCAGCAGGCTAGTGTACAGTGGTCAGTAGGGCAGAGGATATTATAAGTAATATGTCTGACTTTACAATTAAAAAGTCAAGACAGCATGACAAAAAGTAAGCAAGGCTAGGATTATGAAAGACATGGAACAACCTGGGACAGTTCTGCGACTGGCCAGTGGGGGGTCTTAAGGGGGAATTGGAAAACAATCTGTGTCTGCTGTATACAATGCACATATACTGTATAGCACAGTCCTTGTACACACACTAATTACTGTGCCACAACTGACAATCTCACAGACACAAATAAACCTCAGGACAAAGGAATATTTTTAATTTTAATTAAATGTTTCCATTTTGTCTTAGGCGGCCATGCATGGATTAAAATTCATCCAGTTCAGCAGGGACCGGATGAGTGTTGATCCATGTACTGTATAGGCAGGCTGCTGGAACAGAAGTTGATCTACGAATCAACTTCTGTACAACCAGCCTCTAGGAATATTTTGGCTTGAATGTTGCTGTCGACTGTGGCTGGCAGCACTGATCAGTGTATTCTGATGGCGGGGAAGTCTCCTCGCTTTCAGAACAAAATACCTCAGTGGGAGTGATTCCGCCATCCACTTCGAATGTGTGGATGGGGGAATCAGCTCATTTTCTTTATTCAACCAGCTGGTTGAATGCAAAAATATGAATAAGGTATGGGCTGCCTTACTGAGCCTACCTTAAAGTGGAACTTTATATAATGAATAAAAAAGGGTGGACAGGCAGGATGTTTAATGCAGAAGAGACATGCTGTGTCTCTTCTGCAATAAAGCTACCTACCTGCCTGTCCACCCCTGTACAGTGAGCCACGCACCTCACTGTACGAAATTCGGAAATCTCTGGCCGCTTTTCCCTCTCGGCCAATGACAGCGGCCAGAGTTGGAACCCGGAAGGCGGCCACCCAAAGATGTCAGCGGCTGGGCAGGGATCTCGGGGACAGCGCATTGAAGGATTGGAGGTGAGAATAGTTCCGCTTTAAAGAAACTGTTGAGACAAAGAACACCTTGGTCTGGTCATGTCTACGTACAGAATAATGCTTAGAGTGCAGGGCTAAGGAATAAGTTACAAACAAAATAAAGAGCATAGTAATCAAACTGAGTGCCATTTTCTCCATACCATCAAAGTCCCCAGCATTCCCCCTATACATCAAAGTCCCCGGTTACATCAGTTTCTCCAGAGTGCTACCACCTTAAATCAGCGTCCCTCCTTACATCAGAGTCCACAGAATGCCCCCTTACATCAGAGCCCCACCTTACAGCAGAGTGCCCCCTTACATCAGAGCCTGGCAGAGTGCCCCTTACATCAGAATTCAATAAAGTGCGCCCTTACATCAGAGCCTGGCAGAGTGCCCCCTTACATCAGAGCCTGGCAGAGTGCCTCCTTACATCAGAGCCTGGTAGAGTGCCCCCTTACATCAGAGTTTAGCTGTCCTTAAGTGCTAGATGGGGGAGAGAAGGCAGGGAGATGGGGAGCGTTCAGTGGTAGTGCAAAGCTCACTTACCCCAGGCTGGTCTGTGCAGGCTCAGACAGCTGCATCAATCATACAGCCAGATGGATCTGCTGCATCCAGTGCTTCAAATTTCCCACCCACATCCATTACTCAGGCAGAGCACTGGCCAGGGATTGGAGTGTGGGCAGGGCAGAGACAGTGGAGAGGGGCGGGAGGAGGTGAAGCAGACAAGGGGAGGGGGGAAATGTGCCGGTTGAGCTCTGGGAGAATGTTTAAAAAACACTCAGCCTTCACAAGTGCAGCAAGCCCACCTGGACAGCTTCTTCTGATTGATGGTAAGCAACCATGCCCAGGACCAGGGGCGGACTGACAACTCATGGGACCCCCGTGCAATAGGGGATCATGGGGCCCCGTGTCCTCGCTCACACTCAAACCACACCCAAAAAAGCCTATGAAAGGTACCAGGGGCATCTTATGGGGCCCCCTACTGACCCCGGACCCTCAGGCACTGCCCGAGTGCCTGAATGGTCAGTCCGCCCCTGCCCAGGTCAGTATACATGGGGGTAGGTGTTGCCTGGGGGGGCGCAGCCCTCCCCAGCACCCTCTTAGATCTGGCCATGTGCTAAATGGATATCACCATCACTAATGTACATTGCACATATGTAGGTTGCACCAAAACCAAAATTTTTTTTTTACAAACTTACAACTGAACGATGAGGAGCGTTTAAGAGACAAACTGTAATGTGAATCTGATGGCTATGGTTTATGTACTTTAAAGCAAAGTTCAGCCCCTCCCCCCTCCCAAAAATTAAGTCAGCTACTACAAATACTGTAGTTGCTGACTTTTAATATTAGGGCACTAATTAGTCCAGCGGTGTCCTCACCCCGAGCCAACTATTCAATTGACTGTCGGGTGCTGGCGCCGCCATCTTGACTAAAGGAAAAACGGCAATGAAGTCCTGCAGCTTCACAGTTGGTCTCCTACCTCGCATGCACGAAGCGTGCTGCGCTCTGTGAATGGGTCCTAGTCTTCTGGGACCTGTGAACTGTCCCAGAGGCCTGGGGGGGGGGGCCCAACTTCCGACTCACTTTGCTGAGGCGAACTGAGCCGGAAGTGGGACAGGGTACCTGTCAAAATCAGGTACTCGCTTCCCCCTCCCCCAAAAGGTGCCAAATATGGCAGCGGAGGGGAGGGAGGCAGATAAGCGAAGCTTCCACTTTTGGGTGGAGCTCCGCTTTAAGTTGTTATTGGGTACATTATATCAATTCCCTATAGGGTTTTTAATGTAAAGTTTTTATTTCTTTAAATTTATTAATTTTTTTTCTATCTTTTGTAATCAATTTAAGAAAGCTTCATTGTAATTTAACTTTCAAGATCAAATCAATATTATTTTGACACGCCTCAAATGACATGGGGTCCAGAAGCCAGTGCCTATTTGGTAATCTGGCACTGCTCCCATCCCCTCTCCAGTCTGGTGCTCCAGCGACAGTCACCACTCACTGACCCAGGCAAAGGGTGGTCGCACCAAATATTGACTTGATTTGGATTTCTCTTCTGCTCATTTGCTTTCCATTTGTTGATTGATAAAAATAAACTGTTAACACTTCTAAATCTGAAAGTGAAAAAAACTAAGTCAGCAGCTACAAAAACTGTAATTGCTGACTTTTAAAAAACAGCCTCTCACCTGTCCCTGGTTGTCCTCTGTCCCTTGTGCCAGCTTCTTAAGTGTGGGCACCTGGCTGTGACAGCCTGCGGCTTGATCAGAGCGGAAATGGGAGCGGTTATCTGTCAAAATCGTCCAATTCCTAATGGGGAGCAGAGGATGAGTTCCCCTTTTGGCAACAAACTCCACTTTAATTTACAGCATTTGTTTCTACACCTTCCTAAAACACTTGCACAGTAGTGTACATGCTGGAGTGCACCTAATAGTCACCTTATACGTTTCAAGCAGGGGCGGACTGACCATTTGGAAACTCAGGCACTGCCCGAGGGCCCGGGGTCAGTAGGGGGCCCCATGAGATGCCCCTGGTACCTTTTTCATAGTCTTTTTTGAGTTTGGGCAAGGACACAGGGGCCCCATGATTCCCTATTGCCCGGGGGCCCCATGAGTTGTCTGTCCGCCCTTGGTTTCAAGACTGTACTCCTGTTTGACTAAAAGCATACAATTCACAAAAAGAAAAAGATCATCATGTTCCACACTATGAATTGCAAGCTTACAAGCCTTATGATTAAGCATTTCAGTGTGAAATTTAGCATGTATGCTTCTTGAGTTACAATAAACCCTGGTATTCTTGGAATGAATCTATGCAAATCTTTTTTCTTCATTGAATTGTTGGATAGATTGTGTTCTTGACCAGACTATGCTACTGCTACAGGAGAGGCCATGTACTGTATAGAGCTGTGCTGCGTTGGTCACAGCACTGGCTGCACAAAACTAGAATCTTTGGCAGGTAAAAAAAATCCCAGATATACTGTAGATTTCAACTGTATATTTAGATACAAGCCTGGTGTTATAATATTCAAACATTTGTAGAAAGAAAGCCTCTTTAACTGTTTAAAGGTTAAATATAGGTGTGTCCTGCCTGTATGTATAGCATGAACATGATAACCACCCACAAAATGTTATCTACATTTAGACTGCTTAGAACATGCTTACTCAATAAACAGGGAAAGGGGCAAAGAGTTAAGTGCAAAGAGTAGCATTACCAAACAATTATGATCCATCTTGTATTGACTTGAATTCTTATGCATTGCTATTTGTTACTGCATTTTGATTTTGCACAGCTATACAAGGCTCACACTATTCACAGCTGTGAAAGTCTCGTGTCATTACACAGGGGCTCCAGTCCTTGGTGGTATTTTATTATGACTTTTTATTCTTTTCCAATCAGTCAGACTCTTCTGCACCCTTGGAATTCCCCACCTGTGTTAGGCTTCATGTACACTAGCATACCCTGACCGCTGGCTCGAGAAAATGCAAATCGTGGCAAAAAAACGTGCTACCGCATTTCCCGTGGTCAGAACGTTCCTATCCTGAACATGATTCTTTCGCATTCAGGGAGATGGAGGGTTAACCTCACCTAAATGTGGCAGCTCCTAAACTTTGCTAAAAGCCTATGTGTACATGTACACACTGTGACGATCGCGGCGTCAGACCCCAGCCCTTCTCACCAAACTCGTGACCGAAGGACTAGCCAATTTAAAACCGCACTGTCACGTGCGTAACAATGCCACGCCCAGCTGCACCCTGCACAAAGATTTTACAGCTAATGGACTACAATCTGTGTACTTGCAGCCTGAGAGCAATTGTTACTGGGTCAGGTTAATTACGCAATTAACCCTTCACACTGCCACCACCTCCTTTTTGTACAGAGAAAGAGGAAACTCGCAATATCAGCAATAACACTATGATGTTAGAATAATCGTTTTGTATACACAATGTCACTGCAGACAGATGTATGCAGACGTTTTAAAACACACAGTAGCGCTGTTCAGAGACAGGGGTTCTTAGTTTGCATTAAAGAGCTTTAGAAACAGTTCAACACTTTCAGAAAGTAAGATTTATTACTAAAAGGTCAAAAGGGTGCAATAAAAATACATACAGAAAAAGATGTAGCCAATATATATGTATAAATATACAGAGAGCAATAACACAGCAAAGAGATAACAGAAAGTAATTTAGAGAGATACAGTACTTGCCAAAAGTCCTGGTTTAAGCAAGTTTCCTGAGCCAAAAGGGTGCCTTATCTCCCAAAGTTAGTTCCGATGTTAAAAGGGAGCTTCTTCAACTTCAACTCAACTCAGCTTAGCTTAGCTCTAAGCATAACCGCCTTTTTCTAGAACCTCAGCAGGGTGTCTCCTTAAAGCAGAGAACCAATCACCTCATTTGGGGAGGGAGTTGTAGGTGGAGACCCCAGCTAGGACCAAAATCCCTCACAAGTTGATATCATGACCCATAACTTACCCTCGGTGCGTTTAGCAGCCTTGCAACTAGTAGATTAATATGCAGACGCATCTGTTGAACGTCTAAATATGAAATATGACATACCTGCTGTGACGGTTTACAGAGATATCATTTTCTGCTCTCCTATACACCGTGTTCCAAATTATTATGCAAATGATATTTTTCTCATTTACCTAAATAATTGATGTAAATAACAGTCAGCATAATTGTCATGTTATCAACTATTAAGAGTACAATTCAAATTTTATTGAACAAACCTCCTAATGATAACAGTATTTTTTTTAAACATAAAAAACTTACAATGCACTGTTCCAAATTATTACGCACAGTAAGTTTCAAAACACTTTAAAGCGTGTAAGGAACTGAAAATTGTAATTTGTTGTGTTTGCAGCATATTTACTGAAATCAAAAGCTATTTCAATCAAACTTTTAACAACATTTTAACTTTTTAAACATTTTAACAGGTCACGTTACATTTAACATAGGACCCCTTATTTGATAGCAGCTTCACAAGTCTTGCATCCATTGAACTTGTGAGTTTTTGGACAGTTTCTGCTTGAATTTGTTTGCAAGATGTCAGAATAGCCTCCCAGAGCTGCTGTTTGGATGTAAACTTCCTCCCACCCTCATAGATCTTTTGCTTGAGGATGCTCCAAAGTTTCTCAATAGGATTGAGGTCAGGGGAGGATGGAGGCCACACCATGACTTTCTCTCCTTTTATCCCCATAACAGCCATTGATGCAGAGTTATTATTTGCAGCATGAGATGGTGCATTGTCATGCATGAAGATGATTTTATTTTGGAAAGCATAGTTCTTCCTTCTGTACTAGGGAAGAAAGTGGTCAGTCATAAACTCCACATACTTTGCAGAGGTCATCTTTACACCTTCGGGGCCCCTAAAGGGGCCGACCAGCTCTGTTCCCATGATTCCGGCCCAAAACATGACTCCACCACCGCCTTGCTGACATCGCAACCTTGTTGGAACAGGGTGGCCGTTCACCAACCATTCACTACTCTATCCATCTGGACCATCCAGGGTTGCACGGCACTCATCAGTGAACAGGACTGTTTGAAAATTAGTCTTCATGTATTTTTCTGCCCAATGCAGCCATTTCTGCTTGTGAGCATTGGTTAGTGGTGGCCGAATAGAAGGTTTATGCACAGTTGCAAGACTCTGGAGGACTCTACACCTTGATGTCCGTGGGACTCCAGAGGTACCAGCAGCTTCAAATATCTGTTTGCTGCTATGTAATGGTATTTTAGCAGCTGCTCTCTTGATCCGATGCGTGGATCTGGCAGAAATCTTCCTCAATGTGTCTTTATGTGCATGAACCCATCTGTGCTCTGAATCAGCCACAAATCTCTTAATAGTGCGATGATCACGCTTAGGTTTTCGTGAAATATCTAATGTTTTCATACCTCGTCCAAGGCATTGAACTATTTCACTCTTTTCGGCAGCAGAGAGATCCTTTTTCTTCCCCATATTGCTTGAAAATGGTGCTCTGCTTAATAATGTGGAACACCCTCCTTTAGTAGGTTTTCCTTAAATTGGGCTCACCGGCCAATCTAATTATCACAGGTG